GGATAGGATAGGATAGGATAGGATAGGATAGGATAGGATAGGATAGGATAGGATAGGATTCTTTATTGGCCAAGTGTGATTGGACACACAAGGAATTTGTCTTGGTGCAAATGCCCTCAGTATACATAAAAGAAAAGTTACATTCATCAAGAGTCAAGAATCATCAGGTACAACACTTCATAATAGTCATAGGGTACAATAAGCAATCAAATTATACTGGGAAACAGTCAATATAAATTGTAAGGATACAAGCAACCAAGTTACAGTTATACAGTCACAAGTGGGAGGGAATGGGTGGTAAGGAGTGATGAGAATTAAGTAAATATTATTAAGTGAATCATTAAGCAAACCTGGCTTCCTCTATTGGCTTTACTTGTTGGAAGCCAGCTGGGAAGATTACACATAATGACCACATGACCCCAGGAAATAAACACATGCCAGTTGCCAAGCGTCAAAATTTTGATCACGTGACTACGGGGATGCCACGTGCCAGGGCTCCCGCAGTTACCCCCTTTTTAAATCATGAGTCTTGAGCCGAACTTCCAAAACTTAAAGAAGATTTATTAGGAGTAAACATGCCAGCACTGCCTGGGTGTAGCCGACTCTGAGACACATCATTCATTGTCACCCTTGACCCTGGTTTTGCCCCACCCCCTGGGTGTATCATAATTCATATTCTCCAATGGGACACATCCATAGCCAAGAGTCATCAATCATGCTCTCCAGTTAGAATTTTGCGTGACAGAAACTTCGGTCACCTGGAAACTATCTATGAAAACATTTATGGAATGCAAGCTGCCCACTGCTTCCCCCTCCCTTTCGGTTGGCAACTCTAAAAAGACCATAGAAATATTTTATCAGTTGACACCACGTTGGTAAGTATGAAAAATGGTCATAAGTGTCTTTTTTTTCCACATAGTTAACTTTGAATGGCCACTAAATGAATGGTTGTAAGTCGAGGACTATAGAAATTTTAGGGTAGGGTAGGGTAGGCAGAAATTTGAGAGTTGAAAATCCACAAGTCATAAAATTACCAAGGTTGGAGGCCCCTGTTTTAGGCCTCCACCAAACATCGTCCCCAAATGAACTGTCAAATGCAATCAAAGGGGAAGTAATTATATTAACTGGAATTAACCACAATAGCTGCATAATGCCGCAACAGACATATTTGTGTTAAGGAGGTGTGCCAGTTTTGGACCCTTGTAATCTGGCCCACAGAAAATTCTCAGTTTCAGATCTCAAGCAATATACGTCCTTCTCTTGGCAACAGTCCAGAAGTGATGAGTAAAAACAATTGTACTACTTAATTTCCTATTTCAGGAAGAATTTCCTTATTCATTCAAGCAACTTCCTATTTCATTCCCTTTTCCGCAGAATCATCTCCAGAACTGTATGTCCCAAGACCACATATGGGGCCTCCTGGCTATGGAGATTTTTTTTATTTGTTTATTTATTGAATTTGTTTGCCACCTATCTCGCTGCAAAGAGACTCTTTCATACAAGCTCCATAAAGAGATCTTTCTTTCATACGGCCAGGAGGCATAACACACGTCAAATATTCATGTCAGATATATACAGAAATCCATGTGTGCCCAAAATCTATAGATATAATAAAGGGCACTAACTATCAGAATTTCAAATCCAGGTCTTAAGTTTCCTTTTTCAGATTGGTTGTAACTTTGAACAATCACTAAGTGACCAGTTGTAACTCAAGAATTTTCTAGATGCTCCACCAGGGTAATTTTTTTTTTTTTTTTTACTCATAACGGGATAACCAGAATGACAGGATGGTTCAAAATTATTTGGGGTGGTGGTTGGGAGAAACAATTCAGAGACTGCAGTAATAGATATTCGGTAATTTCAAAATCAGATCAGGGTTTCCCAACACACACAACCCCAGTCTGCAGCCCACTATTTGGAACTGAGCCCGAGCCGTGTGAAAGATGGGCCGGGCATGCAGCTCTACTCAGGCAAGAGACTGGCCGGCCCACTGCGCAGCTCCCCTTGCACAAGTGGAATAGTGCATGCACGCGCACACTAGCCGGCCATTCATGCAGCTCAGTTTCCCTCTCCCCAGGCAGGCCAGCAAGCACGAAGGTTTGAGGATCATCATCCTAGATCAGGGGTGACAAACTTAAGGCCCAGGGGCCGGATCCAGCCCGTGGGATGCTTAGTTCTGGCCCGCGAGGCTGCCCAGGAACAGCAAAGGACCAGCCCGCGGTGCCTCTGCCAGAGAAAATGGAGCCCGGGAAGGCCAGTTTGCCCTCCCGAGCTCTTTTTTCACTGCAGGAGGCCGTCACAGCTGAAAATGGAGCTTGGGAGCCCGTTTTCGCCGGCAGAACACTTGGGCCCCCACAGGCGCCCCCAACACGAGTAATGCCCACCCTGGCCACACCCACTCCGGCCTCCCTGAGGTCGAACACAATCCTGATGCAGCCCTCAGTGAAATTTGAGTTTGACACCCCTATCTTAGGTATACTGCTTATGAAGTCTCCTAGTATTCTTAGATCAATACCTGTACAGGTAGCCCTCGACGTACAACAGTTCATTTAGTGACAACAGCACTGGAAACAGTGACTTATGACCGTTGTTCATGCTTACAACCATCGCAGCATCTCCATGAGATGTGACGAAAATTCAGACATTGACAACTGCCTTATATTTAGTATGATCTCTTTGACCTTCTGACAAGCAAAGTCAATGGGGAAGCCAGATTCATTAAATAACTCAGTTACTAACTTAACAACGGCAACTGATTCACTTAACGATTGCGGCAAGAAAAGTCGTAAAATGGAGCAAAATTCACCTAACAAATGTTTCACTTAGCAACAGAAATGTTGGGCTCCATTGGGCTCATAAATCGAGGATTACCTGTATACTATAATTGTCATCGCTCACCAAAACAAATATTGATATTTTCCGGAACTTCATCCAACCCTCACAATTATTTGCACAAACATTGTTGTTCCAAGTATAAGCATCATCGGCTCCAGTTTGACACCTGGCTATCGCTGCGCAACTACAGAGCAATACATTTCCTTGATGACATTATGGAAATAATAGGTCATGGCCTTTTATGATTTGTTTACTTTTTTTATTTAGACTTTCCAGTCAAGCAATAAAAATGCTGCGATTCACATTGTGTGTTTCCAAATGTTGCTCATAGGTTTAAATTAAAGGAGGAAGGAGGAGGAGGAAATACTTTTAGCTTATTGAGTACTGTAAGGAAAATCTGAAATGATTTTGAATACATTATTGACTATTTGAATACACTATGTATTAATCCCATACACCAGTGATTAATTTTCAAAAGAAGAGGCCGGCTGATTAATTTGCTTAACTGATTCTCTCTAATTACTTAATTATCCAATTAATTGACCAAGTAGTAAAATGCTTCAAAACCTCAATGCAAATTCATGTATATGTCATTCATCATCTCACACTGATAGTTTGTTAATTTGGCAGCTTATTATGCATTATGGAGACTAATACCAGCTGTATTCCATCTGAAACCTATTTTTAACCAAAAGAGCTGAAATAAAATGAATCTCACTGAATCTTCTGCTCAGCTGCAACTAGCTACACCATAATCCCTTTAAAGATTTAGCAACTTGCTTAGCAGAAAGGTCCATTTTCCAAAATGAAACCTGAAAAATATAAACAGCAGTCTTCTTCTCGAACTTCTCAGAAACTTTATTTGCAGGAATGATGCAAAGATCACAATGGCAATTTTTCTTAAACTAGCTAGCTTGCTTTCCTTAAACCCAGTTTGTTTCATCAGAATCGTAAACCGCGCTTTTCAGGTTTGTTAGCATTGAAACCAACCATTACTCTGAAACCGCCTTTCTAGATCCAAATTACTAAACCAATTTTTTAAATAGGAAATTAAATCTGCCAGTTTTGTGCCCACACACACACACACACAAGCCATCGATTTGAACAGGAGGAAGTACACAGGACAACTTCCCGACAGGAAATCCTCAACTTACAACCATTCATTTAGTGAACATTCAAAGTTACAACAGGGTTGAAAAAAGTGACTTATGACCCAGTTTTCACACTTAAGACAGTTGCAACATCCCAATGGCAGGTTGGATAAAAATCTATGTTTAAAAAAAAAATAAATTGGATATTTTAAATATAAATTGGATTTCTTTAAATTTAAATCGGACTTTTTTATTTTTTATCAAATTCATTTTAATGAAATGCTTCTGGAGTAAAAATCTATCTAAAGACAGTTTCCTATTTAAGAGACATTAATAATTTGGTTTATTCAGCATGAAATGGAGCTTAGTTATGTAGCTGGAGGCTATATATTCTGCAATACTGGGACTGTCGGTGAGTCAACAGCAGGTCAGAGGTGCTGCTGCTGTGGGACAAAAATGATAGTTGCTCTTTAAAAATTATGATTTAAATCAGAGGTCTCCAAGCTTGGCAACTTTCAGACTTGTGGACTTCAACTCCCACAATTCTCCAGCTAGCATAGCTGGCTAGATAATTCTGGGAGTTGAAGTCCACAAGTCTTAAAGTTGCCAAGTTTGGGGACCCCTGATTTAAATCGAGTTGATTAAAATAAAACCTTTTTTACTAATCCACCCTGCCCCATGGTCATGTGATCAAACTTTGAACACCTAGCAACTGGCACGTATTTACAATGGCTGGTCCCAGCAATCTGGAATTGTCAATTTCAACCTTCCTAGGGAACTTCTAAGGGACGCGGTCGCTCAGTGGCTAAGACGCTGAACTTGTCGATCCAAAAGTTCAGAGGTTCGAATCCCTAGCACCGTGTAACAGAGTGAGCTCCCATTACTTGTCCCAGCTTCTGCCAACCTAACAGTTCAAAAGCATGTAAAAATGCAAGTAGAAAAATAGGGACCCCTTTGGTGGGAAGGGAACAGCATTCCGTGCACTTTCAGCGTTTAGTCAGGCCGGCCACATGACCATGGAGACATCTTTGGACAGCGCTGGCTCTTTCGCTTTGTAACAGAGATGAGCACCGCCCCCTAGAGCCGGAAATGACTAGCACGTATGTGCGAGGGGAACCTTTACCTTCACCTTACTGAACCTCTAACAAGCCAAGTCAATGACTTGCTTAACAACTTTGGGGAAAAAAAGATTCTAAAATGGGACATGACTCACTTAATAACTGTCCTGCTACTTGTATAGTTAATTGCTTGAACATGCCATACTACACCATGGTTTACCTAGCCGTATAAGCCAATGACATGGAGGACCACCACTGCCATCTGGTCTTCTGGGTTTATCTCTCTGGATCTTCCGATTTCCAACCCAAGCATCTCCAACTATAATCCAGCACTTGTACCTAGTAAAATATGTATTGAGCTGCGATGGCGCAGTAGAGTACAGTACTGCAGGCTACTTCTGCTGACTGCTGGCTGTCCTGCAATTTGGCAGTTCGAATCTCACCAGGCTCACAGTTGACTCAGCCTTCCATCCTTCCAAGGTGAGTAAAATGAAGACTCATATTGTTGGGGGCAATATGCTGACTCTATAAACCGCTTAGAGAGGGCTGTAAAACCACTGTGAAGCAGTATATAAGTCTAAGTGCTGCTGCTAATGGGAATAAGTAATATTTTTCTACACTCATTCTATGAAAACATTGCTTACTGTACAATCAATGCTAAACACACATCTAGATTAAAACAAATTCAGGATTTCTGGGGATACATGGTCAACCCACATCTTTGCAAAGGACTGCAGAATGGATCACTATGACCATGCTGACCTATAGAAAAACACAGAGCGCTTGGGTGCCCTGACATGAGTGACGTCAAGTTAGCCATGCCAACCCTGCCCCCACCCTGAGGTCAAACACAACCCTGATGCGGCCCTCAATGAAATTGAGTTCGACACCCCTGTCTTAACCACTACACCAGACCGGCTCTCTGATTTGTATGGTCCCTTAAACAAACCACCATGTGAGGGTAGGATAGGTAGAAAGAACATACCTTCAATAGCCAAAGCAAAACCATTCCAAAACAATGCAGCAAATCTTCCTAAGTGTGAAAGATTTGTTCCACACCCAGGGAAAAAAAAAATTACATTTCCTTTCATGTACCACCCTCAGTAGGAACCAGCGTAGTATCTAATCATAGTTCACACTGTGACTCCAGTGAGAAAACAAATACCTAGCCTAGACATCAAAGGACGCCACTTCAATAAAAAAAAAAAAAAACAGAATTAGGAGTCTTAATTTACCGCTTTTGCCAAATAATGATCAAGATTCAGATCAGGGTGGAACAAAAGGGTTTTGCCACTGAATCACTGTTTGCATGACTTCAATGTTTTTTGCCAATCGCTTGTAGGAAATTCTTCTCCCAAGCAGAGTGTGCTATTTTAAGCCACTTGATTAAAAAGCAAAACAAATAAGATAGACAAGGCATATTTTACTGGAAACCCCATTGTGAGATTTTTCCACATGAACAAAGATTAAAAATAGACAAAAATTGACTTTACAATGGGAGAGTTAATTATCAACAAGACAATTATCTCCCAAGACACTGGCCTGCTTCTTGTCTTCTGGTTTTAACAGAAGTGCAAGACTTCCATCTGAATAAATGCAAAATAAGGAGCTGAAGGAGGTAAAGTGCTTTTGGAAACCAAAAACTACATTGAGAAAAAGCCCCTCAAAAGAAATGTTGTAACTTTCTGGGGATACTGCATTTGGAACCTGTTGTTTTATGCAATTTTTGTGTTGATGCTTTTTCTGAAAGTTGCATGCAAAATAACAAAGGGATCGTAGATGGCCGATCTCAGATATAGAATAAGCCCAGTGCTGCTGCGCAGAATCCAGCCATTCGCATTATGATCCACAGGTTACTAGGAAGGAAAAAGCTCCATACTTTGTTGGAACCCACCTTCCACCCTGAAGAATGTGATTATAGGGAGGGGGGGAAAATCCAGGCTATGTTCTAGAAATATTCTGGAGAGGAAAACATTAGGGAATTTGGGACTAGACTGCTCTTAACAAAAACACAACACATACATACGCATTACAGCAAAAGAAATATGATGAATCGATTCCAAAAAAAAAAACAGAATGCAGAATGTACAGGTTGACGGGACAAAGAGGCTGTCTGACTAATAGGAGGAGTAAAAATATGAATCAGGTGAGAAAGGGAAGAAGTGAAGGAACTCATGTTTTTAACTTTGCTGGGTAGCCTCCTCAGAAATCATGTTAGATCCAGCGGTGGGGGGGCTGCTACGAGTTCGTCCGCGTTCTGGCCTGTTCGGGGAACCGCCAAATCCCACCCCTGGCTGGCCCTTCCCCTCCCGCCCCCCGCCCCTCCCAGGAGTCTCCACACGGCCCATTTTGGATACGAGGTAAGTGCAGAGCCCATGTAGAGGCTCAAGGAGGATGAAAAACGGGCCTCCTGGAACTTCCAGAAGGCCGAAAATGGGCCTTGGAGGCCGGCGGCGGCCATTTTCACCCCCCAGAAGTTTGAGGAAAGCCTCTGGACGCCGGGGAGAGGCCACTTTTGCCCTCCCAGAGGCTCGAGGAAAGCCTCCAGAGCCCGGAGAAGACAACCCCCCCCCCACACCATGATGCAAGAGGCTGACTAGGCCACGCCCACTCAGGCCACGCCCACCCAGAAACCAGGCAGAGAACCTATTGCTGAAATTTTTGAAGCCCACCTTTGGTTAGATCCAATGGACCGTTCTGTTGTAGGAGTATACCTGAGTATAACCAACTTTGATTACCTCAGCTCTTTTCATCAGAAAGCAAGGTGGTTTTTTTTTTTCCCTTCACACCTGCTTTATGGTTACGGTCTACTTGAGACCAGGATGGTCACTAGCAACATTCCTACAACACAGAGAACTCAGTTATGGAATTAACCACACAGCATTAACCTTTTTATGTCGTCCTCTTTGTTTGTTAACCCTGAGCATTCTTTTTTCCTCTTCTTGTTTTTAAAGAGGAAACTGCAACATAGACCTTTTTAAGTTTTAAAGAAACTTGGCTAGAAAGGCAGGCTATGAACCTCATGAATGAATAAATAGATTCGAAGCAGGCTTAGGATATACCCAGAATGAACTCAAAAATATTTAGTCAAACAATGGCGGAACAGATACTTAGGTCTATACTCTAAGCCACTGATGGCTAACCTTTTTCTCGCCGCGTGCCAAAAGCACGCATGAGCATGCATGCCTTCACCCATAATGCAATGTGTGTGCGCCCCCCCTGCA